CAAAATAAAACAGATTGTCCATAACTATATGTATATACACCACAAGTGTACATATGTATGTATATGTATATTTATACATTTTGATTTTTCTAACTTATCTACTAATAAGAAAAAACAACAACAAAGTATTAGCTGGAGAGCCAGCGCATGCCTTTGCGGTTGAGTAAGAAAAAAGAAATAAGAAAATATAAATATGTATGTACATGCGTTTACTGGTAGTAATTCCAAAAATAAATACATAAGGAAGGAAGCTCTAAGTTTGGGTGCAACGGAACATTTTATACTCTTCGGATAAAGAAAAGCCTTTCTTCAACAACTTTTTCTCATTTAAAAATTAAATATTAAAATAGATTTTTTGGTTGTTACAAACATGCACTATTAAAGAAGAAATTCAGAAATTTTTGGAAAAAAATATTTCAAACTCGGCCATTGCGACGCCATTTCCGTTGACGCCTTGGAAAAAAAAGATGCTCCCGCGTTGGGAGTATAACTTCTTACAAGATCATCTAAAGTGAAAAGTACTCGTTTTAGTAGGAACCTTAACTCGGAACTTGGGCGAAGGAGAAAATATTGAAAACTGGGATTTTGGCAGACACTTTGTCAAAAATTAAAATTTCACTTCGAGAAACACCCGTGTAAAGACGGTGCACTTAGCCTAGCTAGTCCCTAGCGCTCAAGTTCTCGAGGCTTTATTTTCGAAAACATTACTCGGATCAACTTGAAAATTTAGGTCAATATTCTAGAGATGTTGCAGAATTTATTACGGCAATAAACAACAACCCGTAAGCCCATGTAACCATTTGAAGCCGGGGTAATACCTTAAGTTGTAAAAAAAATTCCCGGAAGTTCTAAAATCTTTACACTGGTATATGAATGCTCAGAGAAGTATTGACCCCTTCTAAACTATTTTGTTGATCAGTCGGTTTCCCATATGAAAAATTCTTCAGATTTTCTTGCATTTTCTTAGCCAGTTTGAGGTATAGCAATTTTTAATTTTGCATCGAATCTTACTCACTCTCTTGACACTAACAACAACAAATATTTAAAACAGGGTATCATTATGAAACAACGATTTTATTAATAAAAATGGTACTTCCACCTAACTAATTTTGACAGTGTGGAATATTTGTATCTTGCATGTATCGTTCTATAAAATTTTTCAAATCACACACGTCACATTTCTTCTTCGGTTGTCGCAGCTCACAGATGGCATAATGCTGAGCCATGCAATTCCCATCATTTATATGGAAAATATTAGTAACTAGCCAAAGATGTACACAATCCTCATTTTGACCAGAATTGTCTGGTTGACTGCCTGCCCATTTAGCATACCGCATTGGACGTCCGTCTTTAATTGACATAAATTTACCTTCCTCAGCCAAATCGGTGACACCAAGCCAGAAATTTGTCCCAGTATGACCTTTATACATGAGTAAATAGGAACTCAGTGCATTCATCTCAGCTGCCGACTCGATTACGGCCAAATCACTATCATAGTTGCGACAGTAAAGCATCGCACCGAACCAATTCATCTGTAATTAAGAGACCTGAATTATATAATTTTAATGTAGAAACTTTAAAGTAAATTACCGTAGTAGCAGTGTTTATTAGGTAATATTTACTACCGATCTGTATGAAGGGTTGTTTCTCACTCTCACCTACAATTTAGAAAGAGTTGCAATGAAAAAGTAAAAATTCATACTATTCTTCCTCAAGAATAACTCACCGCGGTTGGAAATATTAATAGACTGGGGTAATACCCGCGCAAAGCACCAAATTAAAATAAAATATTGTGTCAAACCCATTTT